CCAGTTTCCTCTGCGGAACTGGTTCGGACATTATTATCAGTTAACTAACCGGGTTATCCTTAAGAATATTAGCTTAATATTCTCCAGGAACTTCCCGTCAAAAGTGGGGAAACAGTTTAGACTCATATACCTATTGGAGTATCAGGGAGTAGTTTAACCTCTTATACCGGTCGGAGGATTGAGAAACAGTTTATACTCGTATACTCTTTGGAGTTTTGCCGTTCTCAATTGGCTTACCTTAGCGTTATGACGCCGGCTTCAACCAAGGTCTGAATGCTATTCTTGAGAGCAAAGCAATCCTTGGTGGGATGAACGACCCTCCTGTGGTATGCACAGTACTTTGGGTCCGTAGTGTTGTCAGCTTCCTCCTGATTTGTGATAGGTGGTAGCTTGATCTTGTTACCTTCAAGGAGGGATTCGAAGATGGCTGGAACGTCTTCGTCCTTGAAGGAATACTCTCTTTGGAGTCTCGGACCCGAAGTCTTTTGCTGCCTTCGGGATTGCTGTTGTGACGCTTGATTAGCACCACCAGTAGCTGCAGGTGTTTTGCCCTTACCACGAGAGGCGAAATTTGAGTCCAGCGGATTAACCGTCGGTTGGTTCCTCTCGGCCTTCTTCCTTCTAAGGAATCGCTCAGCCTGCTCCCCTCGGGCCTTCAGATCCTTCCAAGTGTCAGACGGTGCTGTTCCCATTGCTTCCAACACGTCCAACGCAAGGTTGTTGTGGCAAGTTTGGAGGATGAATTCCTCTGTGATCGGGTCCCGGCAATTCATCGCCTTGTTCCGGAATCTTTTGACGAAGGTATCGACTAACTCTCCGTCCTTCTGCTTCTCATCGAGCAACGATCCGATAGATATCTCGGTGTCGTCGTCGAAGAAGTTGGCCAGGAACTTGGTCTCCATGTCATCCCAGCTGTTTACGCTGCCTGGCTTGAGGCGGCGATACCAATCGAAGGCGGCTCCGCGAAGAGTGCCGACGAATGACCGCACCATCAGAGGCTCATTACCAGAGATCACCCCCAAATGCGATTTGAAGTAAATCAAATGCTGGGTAGGTGAACCCATCCCATTAAACGGCGTGAAGTTAATTAGATTAAACTTCGCCGGATATGGGATCGATTCCCATTCTCTTGGGTATGGGCAAGGAATGCCTGTTTTCTTCGTCTCTTGAGCGGAAATTAGTGTGTTGATTTTGCTCTCGAGGTTCTTGATCTTCAGGTTTTCGCCGGTTTCTTCGCCAGCATTCTCATTACCACCCCCTGCGTTGACGGGAGGATCATTGGTGTTACGAGCATTTGTATCCTCATCTTCCACATTAATCGGGTTACGATGATTCTGCTCGCCTTGTTGGTTCGCCAATGCTTGGATCTGTTGGTCATGCATTTCTCTCATCTGCTGCATGGCCATCTCCATCTCAAATTTGAAACTTTCTTTCTGCTTAGCCAAAGCGTCTTCAAGCATCTTGGCCATCTGCTCCGCACTTATCATCAGGGCCTCGCGGGGTTGTCCCTCGCTGGATACTGTATTATCTGATGCCACCGCGGAGCCGGCATCAGATTCTTCATCTTCTGAAGGGCGTCTTGTCCGAATCCTACCATAAGTTGCTCGCTCTATGGTTCCGGACTGCAGACGGGTTCTAGGTCGGGAAGCTTTCAGAATCGACTCGAAATCTTCTCGTGCCGATGTCCCTTTGCTCGTCATGTTGGTGGTGACCCTCGGAAATTCTCCGTCTTCAATCACCCTTCTTCTTCGTTGGAAGCGCCTAGGCCTTGGTTTTGGCGTTTCCGCATTGAGTCTTTCAAAAACTGAAACTCTTTCGGGGACCGCCTTAATGCAATTGCATTCCGACAATACCGCCCGAATGAGTTTGGAACAGGGACATTGAATTTCCCGTTCTTGGGGACTCCTCTTCTTGGTTCTATTCGTACCCCCAGCACGATAGTACAACTCGTCATTTTGACAGTCAGAGTAACCTATCGTGTGCGGGCACGCCTTCTCAGGTATAACACTATCACTATCAGATGATAATGTTTCCATCTGAGGGTGACTTGCCTTCTTTGGGCTTTCAAAGGTTACCCGCCTCAAAACATGCCTTTTTGGGCGTGAATTTTCGGCGTGCTCTTGGACTTCAATGCGCAAATTGGTGCGCACAGCTGCCTTGAGCTCTTTGTCATGCTGGAGGTGATGGCGACCCTCAGCATTTTGAGTCGTTCTGGGCTTCTTCATCAGGCCCAAACGCTCGTGAACTGGAGCTTTGCCTCTCACGTCGGGAACTGGACCGAGGCGCTCCAAAACTGGCTTCTTCTTGCGGGATGACTCTGCATGATCTCCCGGAGAAGTTATTGGGATTCACCCATACTCATATTTACATAAAACAACTTCCCACCTTAACATAATTACCCAAAACACAAACTTTTCTCCACCAAAGCATTTCGTCAAGCACCAGGTTCGCCCTTTCCCTTATTCACAGAAAACCAAAACAAAAAAATCATCAACAAAAAAGGGGGGAAATTCCTTCCTAGAATGCAAAAAAGAGATAAAAATTGCATATTTTCCTCAAAAACTAAATAAAATTTGTACCAGGGAGGCGTCTTCGTTGTCGACGTCGTTAAGAACGGCAGCAGAGTCGTCGGCGATGTGGTCGTCAGCCATTA